TCCCTACCTCCCTGGGCACAGTAGGACTAGCTGAGAATAAGGCAGTCTTAAGCTTCACAGAAGATTCTAGATGGAGGGCAAGGGCTGTTACAGATTGGTTCAGGACGTCAGGCCTGTAATGAGTGAGGTGCTGGTGGTTTCCTTACTGGGGCAGCCTGAGACCTAGGTCAGATGTAGACTGCAGATTTCCTGCAAGCTTGACTATCACCCATTCACTTCCTCCCTGAGGACACTTCTTCTGAATGCCTGCCCTGGTAGGTGCTGGGCTGGGCGCCAGGGACACAAAGATGCATGAAGCACGGTCCCCACACTCCAGGAGATTAGCAAATACTACTTGCACAGAGATGCCTAATGCAGTTGGAGAAAGTCAGCACTAGAAGAGAGGAGCTGAGGGTGGGTTCTGTGAGCTTTTGGTGGGTGGGCATTTCAATTTCAGTCAGGAAATGAAAAGCAAAGCCTTGCGGCAGGCCCTTCAGGAGAGGGTGGAATTACGCCAGCAGAGGTGGGAAAGGGCATCCAACTGGTGGACATGGTGGGAGCAATAGCCCTGAAGAAGGAAAGTCAGAATCCATTTGGTCAGAATCAGTGGTTCCAGAAATAAGGCACTGAGGGAGCCCGAGGGAGGAACTGGGAGAGGGTAGGGTGAGGGAGGGTCCAGCTGTGGCTTGCCTAGAATACGAGGCTAACATTTATTAACAGTTCAGATGCCAGAGGGACCTCATGGCAGTACCACGTCTACTTCAATGGACCACTTGTTCATGGTGAGATGCAATTTACAGAGAATAGGGCGATAGGTGGCCTTTGGCCCCCTGCACTGCCTACTACTTGTCCTAAAGTAAAGTGCCCCCTTTAACTGCAAACATTCTTTCTTTGGGACAGAAGCCTGAAGAGGCAGCTCTGTTGAGAGATGCCACTCTGACCTTTTGTCCCCATCTCCAGGAAAGAGTCCTTGATGGGAGTGGGAAAAAAAGTGTTGTTCATGAAGATCCCACCCAAGCTGCAGGCTTGCCACACCGCTATGCAGACAGAGCATCAGCATTAACGAAATAAAAACAGATCTCTCAAGAGACAAAGGATTGATAGAAAGGGCTAACCCTCCGTGAGGCAGGCCCAGCTCTCATTTCTGGGACCTTTACTAAAAGGCCTCACAAGCTCCTGGTAGAAATAAGTCAACAGGCCTGAAAGAACAGCATCTACTCCACCTCTCTCTGGCCCTGTTTCTTCTGCTTTGACTTTTCCTCTGGCCTGAAGTCTGTGCTCGTGGTTTGCTTTCCAGGGCAGTCCTGAAAGCAGCTGCTGGCGGTCTGTGGCAGAGCACAAGGGACGTGAAATAGCCAGGCCTCCTAATGTCAGCCCGAGCCACAGAGCTCCTCACCTGCTCTCCGTTGGCGAGCTGTCGTCCTCGTAGCATTCCTCCCCACTGAAGTACTCCTGGTCTCCCAAGCAGCGGGGGTCCCTGAAGTAGCTGTGTATCTCTGGGTCTTCCCGGCAAATAGTTGGGAACTGCTCATCTCCTGAGTCGGACCTGCAGTTGGGTGGGAGAACCTGAGCACCTGGGCAGATGGCGGACCATTTTGCAGCCATGCCTCTGCATGCAGCCAGCACCCCTGCCAGATGCGTTCTTGGCTAATCCCTGGACACACCTGCCTCAAGCAGGACTGGACTGTTAAGGCCTCTAGTAATAGTGTGTGCGGCGGTGGGGTGGGGGGAGGGGAGCGGTGTACACGTGTGTGCACCAGGAGGAGCTCCTGTCTTGGTATCTTGCACATGCTAGCGCCCAGGGCCTTGGAGCCAAAGGAGTAGATATAATTTGGGGAACAGAATAAGAAAATGGGCCTAGAGTCCTGCAATGATCGGTAGTCCTGGGAAAAAGATTCTGGGCTCCCGGGCCACCTATTCTGATCCCTGCTTCTTCCTACCCAGGCCCCATGTGACTTCAGAGCCTGGAACAAAGAAGTTCCCTTCCCACCAACTTTCCACTGCATCTGACTCAGTAAGGGAGACAAGGGTTTTGGAGACTCTCATGAACAATATCTGCCAAGTTTTCAAAGAATGCCTTCTGCCCCAGGACTGTCGTAATGTTTCCCTGAAACCCTGCGGACCTGGCCTCCATCCTCGGAAAACCAGCCAGGCTCTGTGACATCACCTCTCTCCAGTGAGAGGCCTGTGCTCCCTCCGAGTTCTTCACTTTTTCCCTGCTCTCCTCCAGCTCAAGATTTCACTTGATGTAATTAAACCAGCACACCTATCCTCCCCATCACCGAGAAAATAACCAGCCTGCCCATAGTTCAACCAGGTTCAGCAAATGGGGAGCAGAATACGATGCATGTGCTGAAGGCTTCATGGGAGGCAAAGAAGACCTGGTCCTTGGTCTTCAGAAGGTTGGGGTCACGCTTTTACCAAGGCCCAGAAGAGGCCTGACCCCAGAAAGCAGTAGGCATTGCCTACCTTCACAGGCCCGGGTACCAGGAGTGCACAGCAGGCTCTCCCAAGGCTATTCTGAGGCCTGCAGAGGCTAGTCTGTGGGCCCCTGACACGTAAATATCAATTCTTGGGCGGTAACCGTCTATGCAGAAAGCCACTACCTCTGACTCCTGAGCCATAATATCATAGTTGGCTCAAAGGAACTTTTCATCTCTCCGCATTCAGAGAGGCCAATTGGTCACACTTATAATACACAGTATTTAACACACAAACATAGGCAATGAGCACATACCTAATGTAAGTTTCATAATAGCGGGTTCTATCCAGGAAAGGCAAAACAAGGGAGGGAGGGAGAAGATAAAAGTTAAATATTTCCAGCAAAATTTAAAATGCAGTTATCAGGCTACTTCCTAGAGCAGGGGTTGGCAAACTACAGGTCACAGGCCAGACTCTGGCTGCCACCTGTTTCTGTGTGACCCACGAGCTATGGAGGGTTTTTACATTTTTAAAGGATTGAAAAAAAAAATCAAAAGAAGAAAAATATTTCATCACCTGTGATCACATTTTAGTGTCTAAAAATGAAGTTTCATTGGGACACAGCCGCACCCATGCATTTACATACTGTCTGTGGCTGCTTTTTTGCTACAGTAGCAGAGTTGAGTAGCTACAATAGAACATATGGTGCCCAAAGCCTAAAATATCTACCATCCAGCCCTCTACAGAAAAGGTTTGCCAACCCCTGTCCCACAGTACGTTGGCACAATGGGAGAGGGTAGAGTTTGCAGCTGCTGCCATTTGAAGGGGCGTCTCATATAGCAGGATATTGGATGGCAGGTGGCCCTTTATCCTTCAGGATCATCATGTGGCTACGGCCCAAAGAGGCCATGACCTCGTGGCACTCACAGTTTCAATTGCAAATGTCTACTGGGCATTTCCTGCTCATGTGCCAGAGCATGGGGGGCAAGGAGGACATTACCAAGTGCAAACACGTTTTAAAGGTTACCTTTTAATACTGGACCTTCTTTGAGGCTCATGGTCATGCTTGTGGGAGGAATGATGCCCATTTTCAGACACATGCTCAAGGTTCCCAATGCTGGGCCGCTTTCCAGGGGTAGCTTTGGACATATTGGCATTATTGAGATTGGCATTTGTTGAGCTGGGAACTTGCTTTCCTATGGAATTATGGTTATGATGGTTATGACACACCGAATTTCCTGCTGGAGGAAACAGCGGTTTCTCAGTATCACTTGCAGGTGGAATTGAAGGCCTTTGGACATGCAGGGGACGGTGGGTGGTATTGGTCTGCTGAAGGGAATCTCTCCTATCACTATTAACATGATTGACATGGTTTCCAAGCAGGGCACCATTTCTCTGCAAAATAATGGGAGACAACACCAGGTAATTTAACAAGTATTTGATGCAGGCTAGCTATGTTAGGTAACTTTTTCTACATGAAAAACAAATTCTAGGTAAGCTCCATAGGATCCCTGGAAAACAACCCGAGGGTCTCAGTGATCGGGGTGAATGTGTCTGTGTGGCAGCTGGTCCCCCTGAAATGAGGAAAGTTACAGATTCCTGAGCCAGGGAGTAAGCTCTCAGCTGTCACTTGAGTATGCTCTTCCAGTTGCTCCAAGTTGAGGTGACTTAGAGCCAGCAGGGCTGGTTGGCAGCCCCGGCAGTTGAGGTTGGGTGGCAGGCATGCTCTTTGGGCTGGGGGTCTGGGGCCAGCTGGCAGATCAAAGAGCTGGCCCAGGGAAGAAGGGGTTAGTGCAGGCAAGCAGCTGCCAGAAGCACCCAGGATGCCCATCCACACCGGCCAGTGGCTGTGGCCAAGCTCCTTGGAAGCTGTCAGCATGGGGCAGAGGAACAAGCTCTGGAAGGGCAGGCCTGGCCTTAGAAGAGGTATTGGTGAATGGGGAGGGTCTGCTGGGGCTAGCGCATGGCCCACAAGCCCCGCTAGGCTCTGGGGCTGGTTTGCATTCTCCAGGCTCTTTTGTGGATCATTAACTGCCCAAACTGGAGTCCTGCCCCACTATTTCCAAGCGGCCAGTGTGTAAGCTGTGCGTGGAATAATTACTTTGAATACATCTTCCTCTTCCTCTCCTTTTGTTTCCTCGGGCTCATCATCTTGCAGATCACATGATATAGCACGCCGGATTTCTGGCCCGATGTCATGCAGTGTCCTTAATCCCGCCTAGATCAATGAAAATGGCAAAACAGATTAGACAACACGGGCGCCCTGAGCCCGGTCTGGATCCTGGCTTTGCTCCTGCCTGCTTCAGCTGTGGGAGGGGTAGGTTTCTTCAAAGGATAGCCTGGGGAACTGACCGCTTGTCTGAATGTAACTAAAGGAGGCCCTGCAGCTTTGGAGTTGTATGATATGGTCAGAGGTACAAGATGGTCCTAGGCTGGGATGCTTAAGACCCTCAACCCAGGAAACTCCGTTTCAAATACCCCCACTTGCAGGGAACAGTGCCTGGTTATGAGTACTAGGTCTGCCTTGGCCAAGAGCCCATGCCTAAATGACAATCTATGGAAGGAGGTCCTGCAGAGCCCCACACAGGGAGGGGGCCGGGCCTGGCTTGCTTTTCTACTAGGAGGGTGGCAAGGACTCACTGGCTTTGTCCAGGATGAGGAAGCTGAGGCACAAGTGCCAGAGGGCAAGCAGACCAAGTAGCCATTGGGCCACTGATTCCGCTAAAAAGCCATGGGAACAAGGGAGTGACACAACACACCGCAGCCAACAGCACACTCAGGACCGTGACAAAATGGACTGACACTCACACAGACCTGGGCTGCTGTGCAGTGCCAGCCTCTGTGGCCATCTGTGGTACCCTGGCTTGTAGCCTGTGCTCAGGCTGAGAACTTGCCAACGGTCAGTTCATCCTCTTGAAGACCACAACACATTGAAAGGGGCTCACCAGCCTCTGGAGGCAATATGAGAGCTATAAGCTGACCCCTCCAGGCCCCTCACAGACATTCTGCATTTCCCTGAGGCCCTCACAGCTGGCCTTCCTTACCTTCGGTCCTAGACTCCACTGGGACAGGGCCTGAGAGAGGCTTTCCAATTTTCCCCGCTTCTTTAGAGAAAGTTTTGAGATGCTTAGGAACTATATATGGGGAAGGTGTAGTCACTGGCTCTGAGAAAACTATGATGTTTTGACCATCAACATGAAAAAAAAAATAGCATGCTGACTCAGACTAATAAGGACAGTATAGCTACTTTACTCTTTCTCATAAAAACACATCTGAAAGAGGCATTTCCTCCCCGCCCCAGGTCTAAGGCCACCTGTTTGTACCTGACCGGCACCTCCTCAATTACTGTCAGTCTGTCTGCAAACGAAGCAGCCACTAAAGGCTTGGAGAATGTCTGCAACCTGGCTCTGCAGGTCTCCATCTGCAGCTAACATTCCAACATCAGGACGGTCTATAGAGGAGACCTGGGCCAAGTATGAGTTGTCAGGGGAGGGGACCACTTCCTTGTCTTTCCTCCATGGCCCCCAGCAGTGGGTAGGCATAGGAGATAGACAAAAAGTGATGACCATACTTGAGATATGCCCAGCAGTGGCAAGGGGGGCGGGGAGAGGACGGGGGCCACAGTCTGGCCAGATCCAGTAGGGCTGGGCCTACTGGTGTGGGAATGCTCAGACTCATCTTCTGCAGACACCAGTGGTGGTGACGTTAATTTAGAATGTTAAGTTGTATGGGAAATTCCCAATGGGCTCTCTTGAAAATGGCCTCCTCCATAATAGCACTCAGCCTATGAAATGAAAGGTGGCACACAAGCCTGGGTCTGCTTCAAACCAGTCTTTGAATAGAGGATCAGCAGGTATTTCCATTTCATGAGTTGTAGGGGTGAGAGCTGCCCGAGTCAAAATTTTAAGGTTTCTACCTAGGAATGCTGTGGTCTTATAGGGGAAAGACACACATGTCCCAAGGCCAAACCCAGAACAGTTCATGGTGTGTCAGTGAGGTTGCCTCTCACTCATCCCTCTGATCGCAGGCACAAGATGCACATACACGCACACGTGCACACACATGCACACACACATGTACACACATGTACCTGACTCTCTTTCACTCTGACGCGCACGCGCGCACACACACACACACACACATTCCCTCTCTCGGGATCCCAGTGTACACACATGTACATGACTCTCTTTCACTCTGACGCGCACGCACACACACACACACATTCCCTCTCTCGGGATCCCCAAGTCCAGCATATCTGAGCCCAGGGAATCACCTGGCTCAGAGGTGGAGCCACCTGCCATTCTCACGGAAACATCAAGACAAGCCTAATGTCAAGTTGGGAGAAAGGTCTTAGGCAGCAGAGCTACAGGCATGTGTAGAAAGGTCGAGCCCAGTAATATTAAATAGCCTGCATTCATTCAGCATTTTCGAGGGCACAATTATTAAGGGAAGATAAGCTAAGGTCGTGTTCAAGGCTGATTTTGGATCCCTGGGGAGAAAAGCCTGTTGCATATCTGATGCCCCCAAACAAGAGACCAAATTTGAGACACCTGCAGCTGTCCCCACCAAACAAACATAGGTGATGATGCACTAAGTCAACACCCCTAGGTAAATGACGCATATTAATCTGTGTCATGTGGCAGCATGGGCCAAGAACACTGAGTTTAAATAACAATAGATAATCTTGTTCACTGTCATTCAACTGATTGGACTAGACCTGATTAAAAGAAATAGAAAACTATTTATTTGGATAATTTTTAACATCATCCTGTTTACGGGTTGACATTTCACTGAAATACACATATAACATAATTGCATAATAAAAACAAAAACTGTCTCCAGCACATCGTCGATGATACACAAGAGTAGGAGAGTGCAGTGAACAGACACAGGACAGAGAGTTTGTTTGCAACATAAATCATGGAAAAAATTGAGAGGTGGACCAGGAGGCCATTTCCAAAGACAAATAATGACAACATATTTATTAAAGAGACATCAAAGAAGGAGAGAAAGCATCACTCTTCCCAGACAGGAAAGCAGAGGCTTAGAAATCATGATTATATTTTGCTTGCTCCACGCAAGAAGAAACACACCTTCTAAGAGTCAGGGACTGACTTTACTCTTTCACATGGGATCTGGGGAAAGATGGGCAGGTAGGGGGACACCAGGGGTAGGGTTGTCTGCCAGGGTTTGGAATGAGGGAAACAGATGTTCCTAAAGTTGAAATGAGGCTTAAGCACAGCACCCTGAATTTATTACATATCACAAAACATGATAATGAAAATTTTCTAGCACACATATCAAGCTAAAAGGTAGCTTAGGCTGCTCCAAAAATTAATTCCATAGGCACAAGTTCCAATCCCCCCAAATTCAGAAAACTATCTTAAATCCTTGAAAAAAGAACATTTTTTCTTGAAATAAACACTTTATAATCAGTAAAATTATCTATTCTTTCATATTTCATATCTGTGTCTAACTGTATCAGCAAAATACTATTTTAAGTTGAAATGTGGTCATAGCACTTAAACCAACACAATGAAAGCCATATAAAGTCATTCCGTTAACATCACAGTAGAACTATGGTTTTGAATAAACACAGAATTGCTATAAAATATAAACAGTATTGATTTAAGATGTCCAATCATATAAAATATTAAACAGAATCAAGCCAAGTTTCTGGTCAATTTTTAAATGCTAGATGTTATCATAAATATTTTTTTTTTATTAAAAAAGAAATGGCGCTTTGCCTGTAGACTGCTACTTTAAATTTTAGACACCATTTAATTGGAATTTTATAGATATTTACTCTATTGAGTGATTAAGTCATACAAAAAAAAAACAAACTATAAAATCTCTCTAAATATTTCTGAAGCAATAGCATAAAATTATGATATTTTAACATCAAATATGAACGTCCATTTACATTCCTTTCTCTTCCCCTCTTTTAGGGTTAGGGTTTTCCTACCTGGGTGCATTTGCAATGCTTTCTCTGCCTGTCTCCCTAAGTTAGCTCCATCAGACACACCAGTCATCTGCCAGCTCTCAGAACCACGGCAAGCATGCACAAACCCCTCCTGAACCTACACTGTAACAGTGGAGATAAGAGATGTGAGCCTCCAGTCGGGACTGGGTCGGACCATTCATCTTCAGAAGTGAATGCCAGGCTTTCAGACTCCAGCCAAAGAGCCTTCGCCTGGCAGAGCCTGTTTTCTATCACAGGCAGATTTCGCTCAGCCAGGGCTGGCTGGC